TTCATTCTCTGCACGTACAGCACCTGGCACAGTGGAGCTCGAGTCTTTGATTAGGGCCCCTAGGTACTATTGCATTGTTAATATCCCCACAGTACAGACTGGGAAACTGAGTCACAGAACAGAGGCAGGATAGGAACCCAAAGCCACCTGCCTCCTAGCCCTGTGCCCATTCCTCCACAGCACGCTGCCTGAGACAGGGACGCCTCCCGGGGAGAAACAGCTGCCTCTTTGGAGGGGTGTGTAGAGAGTTTCTGCCTCCCATGTCAGTTATTTCCAGCTGCAGAGATGAGCAACACGCTGCTAAGCACCAGATTGTTCTCTTGCTGCGTGCCCAGGAAACAATCCTCAGGGCGGATTTCCTACCAAGAACCCCCCTGCGATGCCCCCCGCCCCCCGAGCCGAGTAGCGCAGCCGCTAGAAACTCGACCCCGCAGTGCCCTAAAGCCAGCGGGCGCCAGGTCTCTCAGAGCAGAGCCGCTCACTCTCAGCTCAGTCACGGCTGGCGAGTTCTAGGCTCTACCAGAAACCCTTCTGCCAAGGGGTCCGGCAGCCTTGAGGGGCCCTTTAACAAGGCTGGCTGGAGCCGCTAGCCAGTCTCCCTGGTATTCCTGCTCTGAGAATGAAATAAATGCAACCCAGTGCTCTGGTCGCCCGCCCCATCCTGGCCATGCTGCCCACAGAACAGGGGAAATGAAACGCCAGAGGAGAATATGGGAAACTCCCCTTACCTGAGAGAATCAGCACTCACATAATAAATTTATAATAAATAATAATAAATAATAATAAATTTGTTAGTCTCTAAGGTGCCACAAGTCCTCCTGTTCTTCTTTTAGCACTCACATAACAACCCTTTCCTGTTTTACTGCTAGCTGCACACCACGGCCCAGCTGTGCACGACTCGGATTAAGGTTAGGGCGACCCCTCACTCAGGGCATATTTCATACTGTTCTTTGGCCTTTTTACTGCCCATTCAGGAGAACCAAATTCCATTATCTCACCACTCCATACTTCAATGAATTTTTACCAAAATGACCAAAACTTTCACAGTGGGATGGTGGGTAACAAAAATGCAAATGAAGCCTGGGCCCGCTCCGCTTTTTCCCTTGGACACCAGTAGGGGGCAGGATAGAGATAGCTTAGGTCCAGATCCTCCCATTGGTTTCCCTGGGAGCTGAACAACCTAAATACCCGTAGCCCTCAGAGCCCCCGCTATGGGGCTTGCATCAGTCTTTGGCTAATGGCTGTGCTCCCACGCTAGGGGTGCGCATGGGTCAGGACAGTCTCACTGCGAGTCCCTGGTACGGGGGTGGGGGGGAGGAGGGGTTTGCCTCCGCGCAGAGAGATTCTCTGGTACAAGCTGAAATCCACTAGCAACGTCAGGGCTGGCGGCCCCAGCAAACGTCTCCTTCACGGTTAAACACCAAGGAGAGAGGCCCACAGGGAAAGGGGAGGAGGGGACAGTGGTTGCTGAGTTGAGGATCCCCCTTGACTGTCACTCGGCTGGGGACGCAGCTCGTCAGAAATGAGATGGGCCCTGAATCCCCCTTATTCATTGGCCATCCCGGAGTCCCTGACAGCCTGGGTAATTGTTTCCCGGCAGACGTCACCCTTCACCAAAATCAATTAAAAAGAAAAACATTCCTGCTCCGTGGTTTGCCCGGCTCTAACGCAGGCTACCTGCACTACTGCAGTCCCATTTATCTCAGCCTCAGCTCAGAGCCGGCGTGTGGTTAGGTACTGACCTGACTTGGGAGAGCTGCCTTCAGTTCCCAGCTCTGCCCCCAAGCCCCCGGGCGACTGTGGGCAAGTCACCACCGCTTTGCTGGGGCTCGGTCCCCCACCTCTGCCTTTGGCTGGTCGGTTTAGAGGGGGAGCTCTGGGAACCAGGACCATCTGTCACTCTGTGCACGGCCCCGGCCTCGGTCAGCGGTTGTAGACACCACAGCTACCTACAACTCCTCGCCTGCTCCTTCCACCCAGTGGCCCTTCTGGTCTGGTTCTTCTGAGGAAGAAGCTATTTATAAATTCTCTCCCTTTTCTGATGTTCCCCAGCGCGGTTATAATATCCCTGGCATCGGAACGCGGTGCATTAAAGAAGCCCATAAACCACAGCTCCAGCACCCACCAGGCCCCCAGACAGGCTGGTGGCGTATCAGCTGGTGAAGATGGGCCGTTAATGCGCCCTGGAATACCGGAGCCGCATCCTGACACTGCGTCATACAGAGCAATGAAGCCCTTTGGAGCTGGCAGGGTGATTGCAGCCGGCGCAGTCCTGCAAGCCCAGCCCGGCTGCGGCACGAACAAGCATCAGGGAACAGAATCACCTCCCAGGGGCCCTGATTGCAAGCAAGTTACTCCTAGGAACCGGCTGTGGGCCCAGCACCAGGCCTGGCCCCCCACCCCAAATACCTTATCCCGGGCCGGGCCTGGCCCAGGGTTACTAATTACTTTGCACTTCAGCCCTCGGCCTCACCGAGCAGCCCACTGGTTCAGAATACAGACTTGGCAGATAGATAGATGAGGGGGTGTATGGGGATAGATAGATAGATAGATAGATAGATAGATAGATAGATAGATAGATAGAGGGGGGGATGGGGATAGACAGACAGATGGGGTGTCCATGAGGATAGATAAATAGATAGATAGATGAGGGGGTGCATGGGGATAGATAGATAGATAGATAGATAGATAGATAGATAGATAGATAGATAGATGAGGGGGTGCATGGGGATAGATAGATAGATGGCCCGGGCTGATACAAGGACTCAGCACACACGGCACCAGAGCGCACAGGCACCAGTGCTGCCAGGCTGCGCTAAGGAGCCAGGTCTGGCCCAGGGCAGGAGTCTCGCTCGACTGCGCCACGGTCCATCTCCTCCAGCCCCGCACGGCCGCCTCCATCTCCTCCAGCCCCGTACGGCCGCCTCTATCTCCTCCGGCCCCGCCCGGCCGCCTCCATCTCCTCCGGCCCCGCCCGGCCGCCTCCATCTCCTCCGGCCCCGCCCGGCCGCCTGTGGCTAGCCGAGCCGCCCGGTTTCCATCGCTCTGAGCACAGAGCCGCGTCAGCGCCCCGGGAGCCCCTCCGTCGCCCTCCCGAGCCGAGCTGGGGCAGCTATTGGAAGCCGGCGGCTCGGTTTAGGCGCAGCCAGGACAGCGGCATTGCAACTGGCTGGATCTCTAGTCCCTGGGGGGCAGGGACCCGCTGGAGTGAAATTGTCTGGCCCTCGGCCTAGCGGGGGCCGTACAGCAGATGTGGCTCTCGGGAACCGGCCCAGTGAGAATAAATCCATTGGCGACAAACCCAGGCCTGATGCTGGGCCTGAGCCGGGGCCCAGCGCCCTCCTGTGGCGCCGAGTGCCGCTCCCCTGATCACACCAACAAGCGACAGCGTCTTCGCAGGCTCACAAGTGTCCAGGCGGTTGTGCTGAGCCTTTTCTGCCGCGCTGGGAGCGTCCCCGGGCAGACAGTGCGGGGGAGGCCTGGCAGTGGAGGCTGGAGGATTATTGCTTGCCGAGGAGTGGGCGGCACATCATTCCTCAGAGCTGGGTTTAGCTGCACTCAGGCACCCCCCTGCCCCCACACTGCTAATCCTGGGATCAGGTCCAGGCTGCTGGTGCAAAGAGGAGTGTGAGCGAGCGTCGCAGGGTATCTGAGCCAGTCTGTGTTCATCGTCCATCCCCTGCACCCCAGCGAGCCTGTCCGCAACCTGCGTGTGCTGGGAGCTTTGGAGCCAGGCCCCTGGAGAACGTGGGCTTTGCCTTTCTCCTACCAGGGCTTCCCTCCCCGCTCTCCGAATGAGGGACCCCTCCAGCAAACAGAACAACCGGGGAACGGCGCGATTCAGCCCCCGGCAAAATGTCACTGTTTCCGCAGCTAAACTTGTCCATTCACTTTACATCGAGCTCCCAGTGCAAAGGGGGTCAGTTCTGCAGGGAAAGATGGGACATGCCAGAATCGAGCAAGGCAGCTCCAGCAATGCCCAGTACCAGACAGTGTCCTCTTAACTGAGCTGGAGTCAAATTCACTACCAGAGACCCTTGAGGCCCCAGCTCAGACCTCAGCCCCATCGCGCCGGGCGCTGCCCAGACACACAGTGACCGAGATCGGGGCCCCGTCACGCCGGGCACTGTCCGGACACACGACGACCGAGACTGGGGCCCCGTCGGGCCGGGCACTGCCCAGACATACAGACTGGGATAGGGGCCCCGTCGGGCCGGGCGCTGCTGAAGAGGAGAAACACCCTGTGCACAGGGGGCAGCCAGAGGCCCAGATGCCACGTACGCCCCATGCGTGTTATTAGCTGTAGAGAGGTACCACCAAGGAGCCCCAGTCCTGGAGCAAGACCCCATTGTGTAGACGCCGTACAGCATGTATTGGGTGTATTACAGTAATGCCTGGAAGCCCCAATCACGGGCCAGACCCCGCTGTGCTGGTCCCTCTGCGCAGAACTACTACAAGAGAACAGAAATGTTACAATCCGCGGGCAGCCAGCCCAACGCAGCCACCAGCGAAGACTCTGGGTGACATGGGAATAACTCAATAATAACAAGGTGCTAGTTCTGTTATCGTATTTGTATGTCTGGGTTTTCATACGGACCAGTAGTTTACCCATAGAGCATTTTAAAATCGATCCTTTCTAACGCTTGCCAGTATTTTACTTGCGTGTATCATTTTTAACATTTATCATTTGAGTTGTATACATTTTATCTCTCTCATTTTTAACATTTACCGTTATTCTAGCTGGGTACGTCTGCGCTTCGGTGCTCAGCTTAACGGCTGCTATTATTTCAATATTTAACTTTGGCTGTCGAATTTTTACATTTCTCATCCTTCTGGTTATATACACTTGGTGTATAATGCACTTTTTAATGTTTGTGTGCAACTCTCACGTATTTCTGTATTTACGGGGTGAATTCCCCGCGGGAATTAGAATCCCGCGTCCCCTGCACAGAAGCAGAGAGGCACGGCCAGAACCGGAAAGAAAAGGCACAAGCTCCATCAAATGTCAAAGAAATCATTTTTATTTGCCACCAAAAATAAAATAAAATAAAATAATTGACCTTGGCTCCAACGAAAGCAGACGAGATCCATGCGTCATGTCAACCACAGGAAGAAAGAAAAAAACACAAAGAAGAACCTCTGGGCTTTGCTTCATGAAAAGAACGGTCGATCCCGAAGTGTAAAAAAAGAAAGAGCGAAGAACCGAGTCCGGCAGCGGTTTCACAACTCGCCCGAAGTCTTTATGACATGGAAGAGCGTGACGTTGTACACGACCTGGTGGCCATTGTTCCACGTGTACAGCACCCTCTCCCGCGGGTTGTAGTCCAGCATGGAGATGTGGGAGTACTGGTTGTGGAACGGGATGTCCGTGTACTCGTAGCTAGAAGTGTTTGTGTAGTAGGCAAAATAGATCTTGGCCCCGGCCAGGTGGGAATTTGTGACGTAGAGGGTGCCGCAGATCATGAAGGACTCGCCGGCGCTGCGCTTGGGGTAGCCGGTGTCCCAGCTGCGCAGGATCTCCAGCGTCTGCGGGTCCACCTTGCTCACCACGATGTTGCCGGCGTTCTGGTTGGTGGTGTAGACCGCCCACAGCCCGTTCTCGTCCACCATGAAGTCGATGTCAGAGAAGCCCCCCCAGGAGTAGGGGAAGGTGTTGTTGTAGCCGGCGTTGTTCAGACTGCGCTGCACCAGCACGCTCCGCGAGCGGAAGTGGTACTTCACCACGATGTTGCTCTGGTACTTGTTGTAGTAGAGGGAGCCGTTGAAGACCACGTGGCCCGTCCCGGCCCAGGGGTGCGGCAGCAGGTGCTGCACGAAGTTCTGGCCCGTGATGAAGTCGTTCAGGGTCCGGAACTCCAGCACCCGGCGCCCCTTGTAGTAACCGTCCATGTACCAGACCTGGGCGGGAGAGACCAGCCACGCGGTTAGAGGGGACAGCAGATCCCGGGGAAAATTCACCCCTGTGTGGGGCCCAGACCCCCCCGGCCCCCAGCCCCTGGGCAGGGCCCTGCATGAGGCTTGGGCCCCCCAGCCCCTGGGCGTCTTTCCAGCCCCTGCGCTGCAGCGGCATCAGCACGGCCGCCTCCCCCACGCCGCTCCCTCCCCGCACGGAGCAATGACTCCCCAGGCCCCCAGCCCGGGCAGCTCCCACGCCAGAGCAGGACTTCGAGGTTTCATGAATTCCTGGAGCTGCAGACCAGGCAGGAGCCTTTGGGGCCGGCCGAGCCGGGGCTAACCCAGCCGGCAGCCCCCCAGCCTGTCACACTGGCTTAAATGTTTACAGAAGAATGATAGGGGAGCGAGTGCCCCCCTGAGCCCCACGACGCTGGGCCCCGCGCAGACCCCCAGAGTAAAGTCTATTGGCAAGGGCCCTGAATGGCAGCTCCACGCGTTAAACCTCGGGTGGAAACAGGAGGAGAGAGACGGGCAGAGACGCCAGCTCCAGCTTCTGGCCGAGCGAAGGGACCCCGGCTCCTCAGCAGGGCTTACTGCCGTCATCTCCACCCGTGCAACCCACATGACCAGGGCCGCCCCAAGCAAAACAAAAAAAAACCTGCGGATGAGGGGAGGCTGAATAAGCCATCCCTGCCCTGGCTGCTTGCCCCAGCATGAGCAGTGAGGGGAAGGAGCTCTCTGCCCCTGGGCACCGGGCCCAGCACGCACCCTGCAGCTCTTGGGCCAGTCCCAGCGCTTGCCGCTCCACGGCAGAGAGACGTGGCCCTGCTCACGCCGCTCGTGACTGCAGCTGCAAATGGACGCTCTGCTGGGTGTGTCGCTGCTGTGGCGTTCGGGGGTCTCCCAGCAATAGGGAGAGAGAAATCCAATGAGGACTGGGGAGCAGACGAGTCCCCTCAGGCCGGTCTGGGGGGGGGGCAGGGCCTGGTGCTGGCTGGCTTGCTGGCCTTGGACGTTATTCCATGCCTGTCTCAGGCCCCAGGGAATAGGGGAGGAAGGGGCGTAATACACGGCAGCCCCAGGGACTTTACGAGGGCTACGCCATTTGTGCCAGCTGAGGATCTGGCCCTAGGGGCCCGACCCACCGCCCGGCCCCTCGCACAGCCACGTATGCTAGGGTTACCATACGTCCGGATTTCCCCGGACATGTCCTCCTTTTGTGTGCTAAAAATAGCGTCCGGGGGGAATTTGTAAAGCACTCACAATGTCCGGGATTAGCAGAGAGTGGCTGGGAGGGCTGCAGGGAAGTCCCGGGCTGGACTCGGGAGCAGCTGTAGAGGAGCCGGATCCGCCCTGCATTCTGAGCCAGCAGCTGCCTTGCAGCCCAGTCCGGCAACACTGTGCAGGGCCAGACCGGGTTTTGTTGTGCAGGGCCAGACCGGGTTTTGTTGTGCTCGGGAGCTCAGCCACGTGTCCGGCTCCGCTGCACAGAGCCCAACTCTGTTCTGAGCAGCAGGGTAAGGAGGTCGGGGGGCAGGAAGGTGCGGGAGGTGGAGGTCAAGAAGCGGGGGGGGGCTTTTTGGGGGGAGTGGAGAAAGTTTTGGG